TGATAGTTTATTTTAATTAAAGTATATAGGCCGTGAAATTTCTGTTTATTCATGCATATCAATACATTTTTGTGATTAAAATATTTAGTTCGTCTCGCAAACATCGCCATATGTTTGGGGTAACATTGTCAGGTTGGCGCTGGGTGCCATTAAATATCATTCCTTACTGTCTCGCTCTCGACCATTCACTTCTTTACAATTGAGCGTTATGCAAGGGAGACAACTACTTTTATTCCGTTTCAAATTATCATTTTTGCCGTCGGAGACGAATAAATGACCATCTATTTGTATATAATGTTCCCTTTCTTTCCCCATTCCGGGTGTGGAAAGTTTCTGGAATGAAATTTAAATGGGGTTTAATGCTTTACTTTTCTATACCAACAAGGTCAATGAAGACATACCCACATCGTGATATGCGTTATGATGACACTGACAGCGGTATACGTAAGACTAGGGGCTTTAACTTCGGATGGGACAAAAACTACAGATTGACGTTCACTTTAAAAAACCTTTGATAGTTGGAATTGAAGAAAGAGTGGAGGAAACCCACTTTCAAGGCATCATTAACCGCTTGGTGCAGAAATGTAGGTGTATGTTTTATTTCATAATTCAAACTATGGCCTTGCTAGCTTTGTCAGGGGCGCTGTTGTGCAAGGGGGCACGGAGGGGTCCTCCTCCTAGAAAATGTTTGAAAATCGGGTGCAGAAACAGGCTACTAGTTAAAACCTATCAGATCAAAATACAATAACCGATTCGGTTCACTTCGACGTAACATGGAGCCACGGTGGCTAAGTGGGTAAGACGTTGGCTGCCTCGCTAGCCTGGAGGTCGCGTGTTCGATCCCTGCATTGGCCAAGAAAGTTCATCGGGATTTTCTGACGTGGTTTCCACTTGTCAGTGGTGCAGGACCGAGGTCCCGTGTATACATTGGCGTGCACGTAAAATATCCCTTGGCTGTTGGAATTCGATACAAGAGCAGGCCATAGTGCCGCTGTCCGGGCAAAATGTCCCTCACAGCACACTGCATGGCGTATGCCCGTCTTTATTAGCCAAGTATAGGAGCAGACCAGTAGGACGTTAAACCCCATTGTATTTCACATCGAACAAAAATCTCGAATCCTGTTTTTATACAATTTTATCGGATAGATTCAAAAATATAAAATCTTATTATGACATAGTACGGCAACGTGTACTTGACCGAAGTATATTTTGGGCGACCTAGCAATGCACTCTATAATTACCTTATATACATCCACTTCGTCCATACGATTTTTATGAAAAGAAGCAAACTGCGCGAACCCGCACTCAAGTCTCCACTTGTTAACCGGAGACGAGCACGAGATGAGATACATAACCAACCAATGCTTGAACATATCAATTTTTAAAATCGGTGAAGAGTTGAAACGAGAAGGATGTGATTTTTCAATATATGCGACCGTGCCTTTAATACTTCAGCTATTGTAATATGACTTCATCGTCACGTAAGTTTAATCATCTGATCATATTACCTAATATTTATTAAAACAAGGCAGAAAGAAGATCAAACACATAAAGAAGTAAGTGTTTACATACAACCAGCTCAAATTACAAAAGAGTATTGTGATTCTAAAGAATAATTAATGGTCTGTTTCCTGAACCACGTTATATTTCTTCTCCGTGTTAAATATTTAATGACTGGCTAGATTTATATCATGTTTCAAAACATTATTATTTTTATCATAATATCGGACACCACACTTATTATACTGTGTAACATCAAATCTAAATACGCACCAACTTTTAAAGAAAAAAACAATTCCATTAAACGGTTGTTTTTTTTTAAGTTATGTTTATGTTATTGCCATATTTTTGCGTTTCATAACGAATTATCAAGGCTTATATTATATTAAAGATACATTATGTAAGAACTCAATCCACCTATTACAGGTATTTTTCTAGCTTCAAATGTATGTATTATTTAGACATATTCACATGACAAGCCCATAATCACCTATCTCGGCCATCGGGTGGTTGCGACATTGAATGGATTAGAAGACCCACACCATTTAAACATACGTTATGCAAGAGGTAAATCAGCCCCTTGCAGGCCTTTCTTTAGGCCTGAAATGTTATACAGTATAAACTATTAATTAGACATTATTAACATGAAAAGACCATAATCAACTCTAGATGCCATCTTATCTGTCCGATTTTCTGCTAAACAACGTCCGTTGACGATTAAACGCAAGACTGGATAATCGAGACTTTCTTTTTATCTTGACAGCTGTAACAGTGACAATCGAGGCTATATAGATTTTAAAATAACTTTTTCTCCGCTTAGAGTGAAGCAATTTGACTGAAATGTTCAGCATAATTCATTTACATCATCTAGTATTTAACTATTATAGTAAGAACTGCCAGCTCTTTATCTAATCTTCCATAATGTATCTTTAATAATGTAACGTTAAAATGTAAAATCGAAACTGTGTTTATTGTCGCAGCAATGGTATACTTCACAATCCAGACTACCTTGTCAAAAATTCACCCTCTTTCGCTCAGAATAAAGTAATTTGATTGAAATTATCAATGTATTCATATTTCATTATCTATTTTTGATCTAGTTTACTAAGAACAGCTAGCACATGTCCAAACCCTACCTAATGCATCTTTAATTTGCTGGTCGATAAACATGAGGGTAATACTAGCAAGGAATAATTTTCGAAATGTTTTGCAACATTATACCATATAAACATGACGCCCATCTTATTTTTGTTTGGTGTGTATGTGTTACTAAATGTATAAAACAGACACGGAGAACATTTTATATTATGGGATACAATGACTGGTTGTATAGCGATAAGAATTTAAGTCAACACACCTCGCTGTATATATATAATGTAATAACCATTGATTGTATGTCATATAAATATCCGTTGTGTTTTACTGTACTCAATCGTTAAATGGCCACTCAATGATCATCTGAATCAGTTATTTGTTGTAGAGCGGTTGGCTCACAATATTGTTAACTCGTGCGCTGTAGAACGTAAGATCTGTCATTGAGGGGTGTGGTTTTAGTGTAGATAATATCAATAGTAGAATAGTATATGCAGTTAGACTTTCATTAAGGGACTGAAGCTTGACCTGGGAATGGTGATAATTTTGCCCCCCCCCCCACCAAAAATCATACCCTACCCAAAACTGTCCGATAAAATTCTATCTAATCTGAAAACTATTGCAGTATTTTTTATTCTGAGGTAGAAATGGTGTTTCAGATATAATAAATAACTTTCGGCTTGTATTTTTTTGATATGTTTTGGGCTGATTTAGTCATTCAAACCGTTGAATTTCAATTCAAGACAACGGGTGATGGAGCTTGAATTCAAACTGCCAAGGGATCTTTTACGTGCATATCAATGTGTACACGGCACCTCGGTTTTTCGTCCCACCCGAACGATTAGATAGCTGTCTTTGTCAAGCGCCCCGTCCTGTACCACTGACTAGGCGAAACCACACCGGAAACTTTCTCGGCCATCACCGGGATCGAACCCGTGACGCCCAGGTAAGCGAGGCACCGTAGCGCCCACAATTAGTAGTATGATATAGTAATAAGGCAGGGGCTGTGTGAGAGGAACGCAATGACGAGATTTGCGTCATGAATTTGAGTTTTAACGCCCCCTTGAGTTTTTGTGCCCCTTGCAAATGGCAAAAAATCACGCGGTTTCAACAAGTGTCAAACATATACCGTGGGTCAGATATGCTACAAATCGACTCTAACATGTTCCACACAGCTCTGTGGCACTGGGAGTGACTGTCTCCCCACACCCCCTCCCCCAGCACACACATATAAATATTGTTTTTTGTTGTCCGGGCGGGATCTGGTTTCTCATGCAAAATCATGGGTCACCAAGCCCCTGTAATAAGGTATCTGGGAGGGACTGCCTCCCCACCCCCTCCCCCGCACACACATAAAGATTTTTTTTTTGGGTGGTCTGGGCGGGATCTGGTTCCTCATGCAAAATCATGGGTCACCACGCCCATGTAATAGGGTAGCAACCTTCAGCCGTTAATCATATTATTGCCGGTCATGTAGAGGCGTTAAGGCTGTTGAACTACTGATAGGGTGACCCACCATGAATAAATATCTCCATATATCTCAACAATTACGCCACAATATTTATATATATGCCAAGCCTCAAATCAGTTTCACACAATTATAGTCACTAAATAAACGATCATGTTGTACTTAATAAGCTATGACCATTAATCATGTGTAAATAATAGACTGAAAACTGGTTCCAAGAGTCGTCCATAACATCCAGACACTTTTGAGTAAAAGATAGGTTACGTGCCCTTGTTTTGAAATTAGTCTCGCTTAACCAGTCTATCGACCATTCTACGTCTGATTGACAGGTCGGGATAATCAAGACTACTTTTTTACGAAACATAACAGAAAGCTAGAACAAGAAATTGAATTTAGAAATAAGCACGTTAGGTAGCTCAACAATCGTTTTAAGAAGCTTGTAAAAGTAAAATGAAACTACTGCTAGTATCATGTTCCTGTCTAACCCGAGTGATTCAGAGATATTATTTGTACTAAACCAAAAGATGCCGCTCTTAACGGTACAGTTAATGATAAAGCGATTTAAAAAATGAAACGAACGTAATTTCTAAATCTGCTGTAATAACCAAGAAGCTTAATTTTACTGCTATTCAAAATCGTCAACAATAAATTTTTTACGGCTGTAATAGTTGATAGATTTGTAGAGAATTGCACGTGCCATGGCTATTTATAGTATCATACTGTCAGAAAGTTGGTCTCGGCACGGCGAATGTGCACGCTTCAGTGGTAGTCTCGAACTATCAGCGGTGGACTGTATTTCTGTGAGTACATGGGTCACCCTACTACTGATAGTAAATCTAAAGAATGAAAGTTGTATGTTGTTCCTATATCTTATATACACCAAACATATTTAATTGAAATTATATATGTATAGTACACTGTTAAATAAAACGAAATCAAGGACCACTTGCATATTTTAATAGTAAAACATTTCTGATGTTGGTATATAATGATCATATTTCATTGATGTATGTTTTTATGGATATGTAATAAGAGAAGACTTCCGCGATAATAACAATATATGGTTACATAATTGGTATGAAGGACGGCAAATTAATTAATTATATTATTGCGTTCTTGAAATTTTTCTCTTCATATTTATAAGTCTTGTAAATATTGTCACTTTTAAAGAATTTAGGTAAAATGGACGTGTACTCTATATACAAAGATCTACTAATTCCCATAGTCTATCTCTTTCAAAGATCCTGTCAACGAAATCTATATATATATTTGTGACTGTCGTTTGTCTGTCTGTCTTTCTGTCTGTCTGTCTGTTTGTCTGTCTGTTCGGGGTTGGCGGCTACACTAGGTCTGCCCCGAGTCTGAAATTTTGGTTATAAAGTTTCCTCGGACCGGGGAGTAACATAGGCCAGGTGGCGTTAGTCTACCACCTCCGGTTTCTCCCGAGCGAAGCCGGTCTGCCCCGAGTCTGAAATTTGGGGTATAGGGGTAGCTCGGACCGGGGAGTAACATAGACCAGGTGGCGTTAGTCTACCACTTCCGGTTTCGGAGTTATGACCCCGAGCGAAGCCGGGTATCCGGCTAGTATATTATAAAAAGGTGTTTATCATTAATCATTAAAATACAAAAATCTATACATTTTTAAAAGACGACCACGATTTTATAGAGTATCTATCTGTTCGTACAGTTTGTTAAAGTATATCAATCAAATAGCCATATTACACTGTCTTAAAGTTTACTTTTAGCATATCTCATGGTCGTCTAGTAATGTTCGCTAGCTTTTTCATTATTCATTGTAGTGATACGACTTTAACTTCTGTGGGTGTACACACGTGAATACTGTTATATAACGAGGACTGTGGTAAGATATTATCAACACCACACGGAGAACTAGAATATCACAGAGCGTCGTATAGTATTAACGGGGTTAGATAAAGATTATGAAAAGATAAAGAAACGTTCATTGATATATATATATATATATATATATATCAGACTTCTCCTTTAAAGACGTTATTATAAATCAGACAGTTATACTAAAGTATAATACGTTTAATAGCTTCTACAAGCAGCTTTAATTGAATCAATCTGAATGGGAACAGCCGGAGCGACATTGAAAATAAATAACCCTGTCCAACATACTATAATCTGTTTTACACTTCCTATCACATTACATCAACCAAAAGTCGAATTATACATTTTAACACATATGTGATTTATTTATTTTATAAAAAAAATATTATCGTCCAACAATTTAAATTTTATGGCTTTCAACAGATAGATTGACAAGAAAGGTGGTGCAATAATAAAATTTTAAATCAGCTTTGTAATAGAAATTTGTTACACCTTCGTATCCTAAGTTAGAATAATTGTCTCTGTTGTGCTTTATTTTAACCACTCTTAGTCGATAGCCGATATCGATTTTTGTTGGCTGTTAATACATATATTGGATGTTTTTTCCGTTAATACGTCTGTATTTTGGTCAGATTTCCCCCTTTCATCTTCTGATACACCACTTGTAGTAACGACATCTCCGACAAGAATATAATCATAACGTGGTTCACGATTTTTTGTTACCCATAAAGTCTTTCTGAAAAGAAAATGAAAATAAGATTATGCAATTTTACAAATATATTAAGGGGGGGGGGGGGGTGACCGAATGGTTAACGCGTCCGCGTTTAATCAGAAGATTGTCGTTGAATCAAGTGGGGTGGTTTCGATTCCCTGCTTGTATGTGACAAAGGATGTGGTTGCCGGTTTTCTCCGGATCCTCCGGTTTCCTCCCACTGCTAAAGACCCAAACGCACAAAGGAATTATTGGAATAAAATTAAACGATATGTTAGTCACGGAATGACCTGGTTCGTGTCGAGTGGACGTTAAAAACTCCCTCCTCTACCCCTCCCTTTGACTTCAGCATCAGTTTAACAGGACTTGTTATATTGTACGTCGTTTTAAAAGCATAGTCATTTCTTCTTTTAATTTACACGCACCGTATGAAATTGCAGTTCTAAATAGATGGCAACGTTGAATTTACATCAACAAAAATATAATAGAGTATGAATTACCTTCTCTTACAGTAAACTATAATAACAACACCAGCAATTATAACAGCAACAATACCAATACCAATACCAATAACCAAACCAATATTTATACCAGTAGTTTTGTTATTACTTGTTTCAGCTTTAGGTAAGCCTGGATAAAATGTTCATACAAGTACATACGTATTCCAAATACTTACAGACTGGGATTATAGACTAAATATTTCCGCAATGATGGTAGGATTATAAAGTAAGTCCTCCTATTAATTATACATCTAAATGAAGCAAAGGTTAGGGTATATTCATCTTTACCAATTTCCACATGAAATGAATTTGTAATATTCATATTGTTGTATTTACACTAATATTACATACAACACAAATTAATGCAGAATCTTCTTACCTTCTGTACAGTTATGTCCAGATGTACCATCTCCACAATCATCCATACATGAACCATCTGTTATATTACATACAGTTAAACCAAGGATAGATTTACAATTGGTACTACACTTTTTGTCACAGGTTATTCCATAATATCCATGTTTACAAGATTCACACGTACCATCCATGTTACATATATTATCTAAACATCCTATAGGACAGGTTTTATTACACATGGTACCAAAAGACCTCGAGTTACATGATATACAAGTTCCGTTCATGTGGCAGATGTCTGGACATACAGTAGGACAGAAGTCTCTGCATCTTATACCAAATTTACCTTGTCTACAGGCCATACAAGTTCCATTTTTAGTACAATTATCTCCTAAACATCCAGGTGGACAAAATGCACACCTTTGTCCAGATCGTCCTAGTTTGCAAGAATTACAACTTCCGTTAAGGTTACAACTATCACCAAGACACCCGGTAGGACATCGCTCATTGCATTGTCTTCCATACCAACCAGATTTACAGTATTGACAACGTGGAATAGATTGATGACACTGAATACAATTTTTAGATAAAGACGAACATGCCTGAGAACAGACAGATCCTCTCCTACCATATTTACATCCTAAACATTTACCTTCTCTATTACAACCCCCGTAACACGTATCGCTGCACGTTTTATTACATGTTCGTCCATAATAACCATTGACACATTTATTACAGTGTCCATCCGTTCCTCTACATCCTTCTAAACAAGTAGTGCTGCAAGAATTGTTACAGTAATTACCATAATAACCAGCTGTACAATTATTACAGTAACCATTCGATTCTGTGCATCCGTTTAAACAAGAAGTGCTACAAGAATTGTTACAATAAGTACCATAATAACCAACTGTACAATTATTACAATAACCATCTGATTCTCTACATCCTTCTAAACAAGTAGTGCTACAAGAGTTGTTACAATAATTACCATAATAACCAGCTGTACAATTATTACAGTAACCATCCGATGCTTTACATCCTTCTAAACAAGTAGTGCTGCAAGTGTTGTTACAGTAATTACCATAATACCCTGGGATGCATTCATTACACTGGCCATCTTGTCTACTGCATCGCCCACTACAGGATTTAACACACTTCATCTCACAGCCGTCACCATGATATCCTTCAAGACACTCATAACATCTTCCTGTTTGATCGCAGCCTCTATTACTACACTCGGGACTACATATTTTGTCACATCTTTTACCATAATTACCATTAAAACAGCCAAATAAACAATCACCAGTCATGTTACATATTGTATCTGTATCGTGCTCTCTGCATCCATTACTGCAAGTTGAATTACAAAACCTGCCAAATGTGTTGCCTTCACACTCATCACACTCGCCAGATACCGAATTACATTGATTGGGACAGTTCTTAGGACAAGATGTCTGACACTTGTTACCATACCAACCTGGTTTACAGGATCCACAACCTGAATAACTACATTTAATACAGTTAACAGGGCATGGTGTTTGACAGTCAGAATTTATATAACCATCAATGCAGCCAACTGTACAGCGTAGTTCACTCGATTCGGGTGATGCTGTACATTGTCTATCAATACATTTGTTACTGCATTCATGTTCACATTTCTCACCGTAATGGGTGCCTTTACATGAACAAAGGCCATCATTACTAGAACATTCGCTATTTATACATCCATCATTACATGTCCTGTTACAATTATCACCATAATGAGTGGCTTTACAACTACACGACCCATCTGTAGAACATATGTTATCAACACAACCAATACTACATTCATGTTGACAATAATCACCATATCTACCTGGAGAACATGTTTTACATATACCATTTGATCTATTACATCCACCTTGACAGCCAATACTACATTCATATTGACAATAATCACCAAATCTACCTGGAGAACATGTTTTACATGTACCATTTGATCTATTACATCCACCTTGACAATAACTACTACAACTTGTATTACATGTATCTGTATACCAACCCTCTATACATCCACTGATACAAACACCATCATCTTTATCACATCCTCCTGGTAGACAGTTTGGACATTTTCTAAGACACAGTCCATCACTCCCATAAAACCCGTCTAGACATCCATTGGCACAAACACCCTGCTTATCGCACCCACCAGGTTTACATGTTGAACACTTCAATTCACATTTCTTACCATAAAATCCATCTTTACACCCATTAATACAAGATCCACCTTTCATTTGACAGCCACCTGGATTACAGTTCGGACATACTCGCTTACACTTTCCATTATTACCAAAAAATCCGTCTTTACATCCATTAATACAAACACCACTATTCCTTCTACAACCACCTGGTTTACAATTGGAACAGTTCTTTGAACAGACATCGTCATAAAATCCTTCTCTGCAATCTGAACATACACCAGCTTCGTAGCAAACATTGTCTTTACAGTTTGGACTACACTCACCCGTACAAACAATACCATAGAATCCCACATTACAGCCATCTGTACATCTACCAGTAACATCACATTTATCATTCTTACAATTTATAGGGCATGGTTTACAGTGTCCTGTATTGTCATCACATGGTTTGCCACCGCACTTACAAGATGAACATGTTCCACTAGATTTTTCATAATATCCATCTGAACACCGAGCTGATAATTAAAAGTCAAATTGATATATGTTAATACTATTTAAATTGAGATAAGATTTACATCAGTTAATACACATTACAACATATTATGGATTATGTTATTCGAGAACTGGAAAGCGGATTTGTTTGGTAATATTTTCATTTCTTTTTAAACACAGTAGTCATAGAATGGCTAAAAGCCTTATTTGACTAGAAGACATAGACTATACATATATATATATATATATATATGGTACCAGAAACAAATTGCAACATACTTTGATTTCACTGTGGGAATTCCAAACCAATATTATCCACTGGAAGTGTTGCTGGTTTTGAGTAATTAACATCAATCCAAAATGGCCACCAATGGACTCTTTTACCATATAGCGCACATCTTGTATTTTTATTAATTACTCTTTAAACCCACAACACTTCCAGCAGACTAGTGTGGGTTAAAAATCCTGCGGGGACTCTTTTATCAGAATCCTTTAAAAACATGGGAGATGTCCCAAACATTTCCATCCTCCATAAGTAATATTATGTAATTTGCGATCTATTTGAAAATTGTCATATTTTTATTTTTCAACATAATCCGCCATGACATCCATGCGTCAAGTTACCCTACAAATCCCCCGCCCCCATCACAGCAGTGATGACCTCATTATCCGTCGCAAATCCGGGGCCCTTTTGGACAAAATTGAGTTACGGGAAAAGGAAGAAGTCACATGGAAGGAGCTAGAGAATAGGCTGAGCGAGGGAGGATCTTGAATCTACAGTCCTATACAGAGCTCACTGCTACCTGGGCGGTGATAACTGAAGTAATGTCCTGTAACAGCCATATACCTATAGGGTTTTCTTTGATTTGATCACCCAACCTACCCAATTCATCAGTGTAATGTGTGCAATATTTATGGTGGAACCCTTCTTTTGATAATCTATCATGATTACGCCCCCGGAATCCAAGAAAAAAGGAGGCCATGACCATACTATTGAAATACGTCCTTTCGTACTTTTTGCATATTTTAAATTTTATTTCTCTGGGTCATCAATGTGATCCAAATGTGGATCTCTCCGATAGCCCCGCATAAGCTGTTGACGTACCATGACGTTCGGACATGCATACATTCATAATGTATTACCTGAATAAACCTCTACTTCACATAATCCTAGAGATGCATATTCCATGTCTGTTGTTATAAATACAATCTGTCCTGTCAACTCAACATCTGGTTGTTGATCACATCTTACTATTCTATACGGATTTCTATTACTACCAGGATCTTTATAACAAACCGTTGATGATTTAAGAGTTGCTTCATCACAACTTCCAGTATTGCTGAGAATCACAGTAGAATTAGCTAGGTTGTCTATGGCTATAACAAATAAGAAATACAGATACATTTCAAAGAAATCGTCACGCGAGTTCAATATTTCAACTAGTATAAATAATGGAGATTGACACCTTACCAGTAACATTATATCAAATAATGGTACGCCAAAATCGAAGTATCGCATTTGTATTTTAAGAATAATAATTTAAATAGCCTTATATAAATACTTACTACCATTAACTACACCACCGTTTTCACCGTAAACACGGATTTCGTTAATTGTGTATTGCTTCTGTAAATCAACACACCACCATGATTTGACGTCACCATTATTTGTAACTGAGCAGGATCCATATTTATCCTGACGTTCACCATCTACAGCATTAGATGAATTATATCCAGTTTGATCGAAAAATGAGCTCTGTTTCGTATTCTTGTCTAAAGCTACATTTTCTGAAATATTAATTTCCGTTTAAATCAATTTATTCATGGACAAATACAATTTAATTTACCAGTATTTTATTTACTCAAATTAAAGAGAAAGTGAGGGTCGTTATAAGATATTGACAGAACACAACAGAACAGAAATTTACCCGAATCAATAATGTTTTCTACTTTGTGCTATATGTGTATAAACCAGTGATTGTTTGCCATATAAATTATGTTGTGTTTCTTAGCTATACAGTTACAGGCATGCTATATAGCTTAATAATATCAAGATGGATTTCACCAGAATATAGAAATACGTGTAGGGAATAATTTACTCGTAGTACAATATCTAGATGACTATCACCACAAACATTGAATACATATACCTGTTGTATAATGTCTAGATGATTATCAACATAAAAATGGAATACATGTTAGAAAAAATTTACCTGTATAGTATAATGTCTAGATGACTATCAGCAGAAACAAGAAATACACGTACGAAATAATTACAAGGGTGGATCCAGGGATCATGAACAGGGGGAGGGGGTGCGAGCGCCGAAGGTCCGAAGCACACAACGGGGCACCAGGGGGGCCCTTCCCAGGAAAATTTCGAATACTAGAAGCACGAAAAGACCATTTCCAGTAATCGGAGACAAGAATCCGGTTCAACAGTGCACCCTCTTGGATCCAGAGAGGAGGTGGGTGGGTGCATGCGCCGTATATGCCCCCCACTGGATCCGCCTTTGATTTACCTGTATAGTATAATGTCTACATGATCACCACAAACATGAAACACATGTACGAAATGATTTACCTGTAGTAAAATATCTAGATGACTATCATCAGAAACAAGCAATACACGTAAGAAATAATTTACCTTTAGTGCAATAACTGCAGGTATACATACATGTTTTCTCCATATAACCTTTCCAAGCACCAGGTTTATCTGTACAATGTTTATAGTTACGTTTACAGATTGGTCCTGCATTTGATGTATCTTCACATGTGTCCAGAGCTAAAACATGTACAGTAATCCAGTGTTGGTTCATATTATCAATAGCGTGTGTCAATATAAGCATTCTACTGTATGTTTGTCATCACTGTCAGTTTTAATCTACGGTTGAACGTTTAAAAGGTAATATCTCGTCAATTGTGAAAGTGTGGTCTACAAATTAATTTTATTGAGACGAGGAAATCATTTGTCAGTTTATTAATAATAGTCAAACGTTCTATTAAATGATAAAAATTAATAATAAAAGACACTGTTTTTTAGATTAAATTTATAACAATCATTTACAAAAAGTCATATATTATACTTATGTATGAATTTAATAATTATTATAAACTTACCAATATTGACATCAAATATAAAACAAGAAACAAGTATATATATAAGTATATTACTAGCCATGTTGATCTCTACATCTCTTCTCTATATATATGTACGTTATAATATCAGCAAAACATTAACATTTATAGTGACAGTTTAAAACAAGAAAGGGGGATAACTTTTTCATGAATCATATGGACGAAGACTACAAATTTTTATTTCACAATAATCTGGCAGGGGTGACTTTGTATATACACCTGGCGAATGGAATCTACAGAGCGTCCAGTAAGGCGTTCTAATTCACGTCTTTACTTTCTTCTCCTTCGGTCTCATAATCAATATCATTTAACAAAACCTGACAGAAAATATAAACTCATCGCCGATTCTAGACCAAAGGGTCAACAGAATTGCCATATTTCGAGAAAGCAATTTCTAGACAAGGCTGAGTATAATTGGTGAATCATAATATTGTTTATTAAACAACGTATAGGTCCATTTCATGTTTGTTACTCTAGAAATCACAAACGTTCATCATTGATTATGAATTTTTTAATACTATTTCGTCACGAGAAATTATAATACTCCAAATAGTAGTGAATGGATAAATTAGAGACTTGCTGAAAAAACGCTGGTTAGGTTTGGGACAGGCGAAAAGCTGAGCTGATGGTGTTTAGTAGGCGTGTTTTCTACTTTGTAACTGTCGTTTGTTTGAGTTTAAGTCTAAGTGTAAGATTGTCAAGTGAATCTAACTTCTTTTAAGTTTATGTTTGCCCGGTTATAAGTTTGATGAGATGCACCCATTTATGCACCAAACTATTACATACGAGTGATACCCTTTCCTTAGTATACTGTCTAATTATCAGAATGTAATTTGGTGCCATTAGTAGAGAGTAATTATCTGAATGCAATTTGGTACCATCGCGACAATCCTATTCATCTGGTCTATTTCCAACTATTATAATGTGTCAGATTTAGAGGAAGAAAGGTCCTCGACTATTTCACTTTGTTCCCCCCACACTACACCCTATAATACCTCACCCTCTCGACTAGAGGAAAATGAAAGTATGGTTTAATAATAATGAGCAAAGCCGAGGATGAAGGCGTGTGTTTAAGACTTTATCAATAATTTTATATACCTTATAGACCTTGCGGCCCTTGGCTCCAGCCTGCCAATCCTATAGGTCATTCCGGCAGAAATTAAGATACATATTAATTCTTTTGAGGCGATTTTAATGCAAACACGATATATGTTGTAACATATTAACACAGTTATGTCTTCAAATATGCTTAGATTTTACAAATGCAGTCTCTCATGTAATAATATATAGTTTTCAAGGGTCTTGTACATTGAAGCCAAAGATAGTTATACTCGTAGTACAAAAACTATGTGTTCTACCAACTATCATAGTTTCCCCTTTATATCAATTACGATATAATACTATTTCATAATGTGATACTTCTGTTTATACCTTCATCAGTTGGACTAATAGATTTTACACCCGTTACTTTTATATTGCCCCCCCCCCCCAGTTGAATTCAGTGTTAAACCCATGACCTTTGATGGCTTGTAATATTATTTAGTAATCATGACAAATCATCTGTATGGACGCGTTGGTCTCTTTGTGGTTATAAAGATTGAGGTTATCATCGGAATTATCAATAAATTGTTATTATAAGATGATTTCTCATGACTACTAAATAATGTTACATATATACTCGTAAAGATGTATTTGTGAAAACAAATTAGGCATAACCAGTGTTTATGTATGTAAAGCAACCACAGCTTTATATACAGTTCAGCCCCACTGTCAGCCTTCGGGATTACGATTGTCGATTGTACGAATACTGCTTGAATTGCTTCCCCTTAAACGTATTATCAACATTCTATAGCATTTTGTCAACATGTAGCTCTGGTCATCAGCGTCCCTACCCGCAATGACCCTTACACATATTATTTAAGGACGGCCAATCTTGTCATTATACACACATATTATATAACATCTATAAACGGCAAATTGTCAAGCGAGTTAGTTAAAACATCTATATCCATGTCATGGATTGGAATTGGGTTTAACATCTCATTGTCAACAGCAATACAATACACAATACAATATAAAACCCATCTATTACCACACACCACCAATACCCCAAATCCCAACATTACCGCATACCACTACTACAATAACTCTCCTGTGTAAACAATAGCACATAAAAAATATCACCTTACTATACCCCCACATTACCACGCAACACCAATACCCCAGAATTACCATATACCACTACATCAACATTACCACAAGCCACCACTATACCAACTTCAATAGAAGGCTTAATCTCGCTTTAACTCCGTACATCTTATCAATGCTAGATGTTGTTGCTTTAGGAACATGCTGCTATACCAACAGTACCATATATATACCACCCAACAATGAAAACAAAATTTGAAAACAAGCAATACAGTTTAATTTCAAAATAATGTAGCAAAAATAAAATAACAACAAAATAATGAATGCAATTGATTAGCTACAATTCACAAGTAATACATAAAAAAAACGAAGTTACACGACTATACCACTATACTTTCATTACAATATAGGCTACCACCCAATAATGAAAACAAAATTTATAAGAAAGCTACAATTGATTAGCTACAATTCACAAGTAATACATAAAAAAACGAAGTTACACGACTATACCACTATACTTTCATTACAATATAGGCTACCACCCAATAATGAAAACAAAATTTATAAGAAAGCGATATAGTTTCATATTAAAAAACTGTAGCGACTGATAATAATGCAATTGATAATATAAGCTACAATTCACAAGTAATAAAAATAAAACCAAGTTACACGATTCCATATGTTGAAGCAACATTTCCGTATATATATATCCACATTACCAGATACCACTCAACAATGAAAAAATTTATAAAACAATATTATTACATTTCATTTCTACTCAACGAATAGTCCACGTGTCATACAATTGTGATTATACATGCGATTATATCTATTTTATAATATATATTTATCGTCCAACCATTTACATTTGATGGCTTTTAAACAATATACACTATTAACATTATATTAGCAAGGGAGGTTACTAGATTGTACACTGAGAATAATTAAAATCTTTTACATCAAATCATCATAAACTGGAGTAATTGTCTCTATTGTACTTTCGTTCAGCCCGTCATAGTTGGTACATGATATCGATGTTGGTGATCTTATACATAAACATTGGTTGCGCTTTTAATTGATAATTCTGTATTTTGGTGACGTTGTTCATTCTCGTGCTCTGATACAGCACTTGTAGTAACGACATCTCCCACAGCAATATATTCATAATATGGTTCACTCTCTTCTGTAACCCGGGATATATTTCTGAAGAGAAAATGGAGCAAAAAATATTAATCAAAAAGAAACATTAAGATTCATTATTTACGTGCTACAAATTTTTGGTTTGTTTTATTAGCGGAATTAAAATAAAGCCATATAAAGTTTTCAAAAACGTTCCCTCAACACAACAGCCGTGTGGATATTGATCAAATTTGATAAGGAAGAAAATCTTATAAAAAAAATCTGATCTCTATCGTGTTCACAAGCTTGTGTGTTTAAAACGATAACCTCTATCATGTTCACCTCGTGGGTTTTCTCTAGGGTCTTCCGGTTTCCTCACACTGCTAAAGACCCCCTACGCGCAAGCGAATTATTGAAATAAAATTGAACCATGTGTTAATTCCGAAATGACCAATGATCTGGTGTGTGTCGAGTGGACGCTAAAACCATGTCTCTCAAAAAAAGTTCTGGAAACTCAATATCGATAGAGTTCATCCTCTCATAAAATGATGTTAAAATTCTGTAGACTGTATCAAGTTTTTGACAATGGTACGTGAAACCGCGGAATTCTGAATATCGACAGGGTTCGGCCTCGCATGACCATAACGACTCAAATCAAATATGAAAAGGATTCGTAAAAATTCGGAATTTGAAAACAACAAAGATGACAGAAGTGTATTTATACAAAGCTATCACTATTACAAAAATTTAAAAATTACCTTCTCTTACAGTAAACTATTAATGCAATACCAGCAAATATAACACCAACAATACCAACAACAATACCAATAACCAGTCCTATATTTATACCAGTAGTTGATTTATGTTTAAATAAACCTGGAATTCATTTTATATTAATAATAATTGATAAGTGTTAACACAATCTTTCTAAAACATGTGATAATCAATTTCGTTCCCAATGCCACACAACAGTAGATCAAAATTTGCTAGCTTCATATCAACACTGATCAAATGACAAGTGAATGTATATCCTGCCTTGTGTATGATACAAGTGACTTCTAGTGGGCTATTAAATGAGGCAATCGTTTGGGTATTTCAGCCATTGACAGACTAGTATTTTGGAACTCGTCACGCATTGGAAAATTAACAGTTATCTATTTTATAACATCAGCGTGTTTTCATCGTAAATGATCGTTGAATATTTATTGTTTAATTTGGGGGATTACGTGGCTAAGTGGGTAAGACGCTGGCTCGCTAGCCTGGAGATCGGATGTTCGATCCCTGTATTGGCCGAGAAAGTTCATCAAGAATTTCCGGCGTGGTTTCCCTCTTGTCAGTGATGCAGGACGGAGGGCCTGACAGGGACAGCTGTCTAGTCGTTCGGATGGGACAAAAAACCGAGGTCCCGTGTACACATTGGTGTGCACGTAAAAGATCCCTTGGCAGTTGGAATTCGATATAAGAGTAGGCCGTAGCGCCGCTGTCCAGGCAAAATTTCCTTCATAGTACCTTGTATGGCGTATGCCCGTCTTCATTAGCCCAGGTTAGAAGTTAAACCCTAGGGTTAGGAAGTTAAACCCTATTTCATTTCATTTCATATTGTTTCATAGCTATACTGTATTTAGACTGTATACCCACAGTAACGAAAACCATTTTACAAGCAACAACAAATTAATGCAGAATCTTCTTACCTCCTGTACAGTTATGTCCAGATGTACCATCTCCACAATCATCCATACATGAACCATCTGTTATATTACATACAGTTACACCAGTGATAGATTTACAACTGGTACTACACGTTTTGTCACAGGTTATTCCATAATATCCATGTTTACAAACTTTACACGTACCATCCATGTTACATATATTATCTAAACATCCTATAGGACAGGTTCTACTACACATGGGACCAAATGACCCAGATGAACATGATTTACAAGTCCCGTTCATGTGGCAGATCTCTGGACATACAGTAGGACAGAAGTCTCTGCATCTTATACCAAATCTACCTTGCCTGCAGGCCATACAAGTTCCATTTTTAGTACAATTATCTCCTAAACATCCAGACGGACAAAATTCACGACATCTTTGTCCAAATCGCCCTAGTTCACATGACTTACAATGTCCGTTAAGATTACAACTATCACCAACACACCGTGTAGGACATCGCTCATCGCATTGTTTCCCAAACCAACCAGATTTGCAGGATACACATTGTCCGTTTTGATTACATTTGATACAATGTTCTGGACAACGCTCTGAACAATAAGTTCCTCTCCAACCATCTTCACATGTTGAACATTGATATCTGTTGAATTGGTCACAGTTAATACAATGCTGTGGGCATCCACGTTCACAATATCGGCCCGTCTTCCCTTCAACACATCCTTTAGAACACTTTGGATTGTTAGTTGGTCCTTCACAAACTGAATCTATACAATTATTGCTACAGCTCATGTCACAGTAGTCACCATAAAAACCTTTTGAACATCGTAAACATTTACCATCTCTATTACACCCCCCTTCACAAATCTTACTGCACGTTTGATTACATGTTCGTCCATAATAACCATTCATACATTTATTACAGTAACCATCCGTTCCTCTACATCCTTCTAAACACGTATTGCTGCAGGAATTGTTACAGTAATTACCATAAAATTCTCGGACGCAATCATTGCACCGACCATTTTGTTTACTACAGCCCCCACTACAATATTTAGCACATTTCAACTGACAGCTGTTACCATAATTACCATCAACACAGTCAAATAAACAATCACCCGTTCTGTTACATGTTTTATCTATACCTTGACTTCTACATCCATTACTGCAAGTTGAATTACAAAACCTGCCAAATGTGTTGTTGCCTACACATTGTTTGCACTCGCCAGATATCAAATCACATTGATTGCGACAATTCTCAGAGCATCGCTTTTGACAATTAGATCCGTACCATCCAAGATTGCAAACAGAACAGCCAGTAGTGTTACATGTTACACAGTTAACAGGGCATGGTGTTTGACAGTAAGAACCTTTATAACCATCAATACATCCAACTGTACACCGTGGTTTATCTGGTTCTGATGATTCTCTACATTGTTCGTTGATACATTTGTTACTGCATTCATTTTCGCATTTCTCACCGTAATAGGTATCCTTACATCTACAAAATCCACCATAAGGAGAACACCAACTGTTGATACATCCATCACTACATGTCCTGTTACAATTATCACCATAATAAGTGGCTTTACAACTACACGACCCATCTGTAGAACATATGTTATAAACACAACCAATACTACATTCTTGTTGGCAATAATCACCATATCTACCTGGAGAACATGTTTTACATATACCATTTGATCTATCACATCCACCTTGACAATAACTATTACATTCATATTGACAATAATCACCATATCTACCTGGAGAACATATTGTACATGTACCATTTGATCTATTACATCCACCTTGACAATAACTACTACATTCATGTTGACAGGTATCACCATATCTACCTGGAGAACATATTGTACATGTACCATTTGATCTATTACATCCACCTTGACAATAACTACTACATTCATGTTGACAGGTATCACCATATCTACCTGGAGAACATGTTTTACATACACCATTTGATCTATTACATCCACCTTGACAATAACTACTACAACTTGTATTACATGTATCTGTATACCAACCATCTATACATCCACTGATACAAACACCACCATCTTTATCACATCCTCCTGGTAGACAATTTGGACATTTTTTGAGACACCATCCACCACGATCATAAAACCCGTCTTGGCATCCATTGGTACAAACACCACGCTCACATCTACTGTCTTTACATGTTGAACAGTTCGATCTACATCTCCCACCATAAAATCCATCTTTACACCCGTTAATACAAGTTCCATCTTTCATTTTACAGCCACCGGGATTACAGTTTGAACATACTAGCTTACACATTCCATCATTACCATAGAAACCTTCTTTACATCCATTAATACAGAAACCATTCGTCATGTTACAACCACCTGGTAAAGAATTGAAACATTTCATGGAACAGTTATCGCCATAATATCCTTCTCTACAAGCTGAACATACACCAGGGCCCTTATACACGAAAATTTAAACTAAGACCAGTAAAATCAATTTGCATATATCCAATTTGCATATTGGTCAGCCAATCGAATTGCAGTATTTCTTAAAATTTCGATTGTATCTTAGTTTAAGTTTTCGCGAATAAGGGCCCAGATCCGTAGCAAACATTACCTTTACAGTTTGGACTACATTCACCCGTACAATTAATACCATAGAATCCCACATTACAGCCATCTGTACATCTACCAGTAACATCACATTTATCAATCTTACAATTTATAGGGCATCTCTCTAAACAACGTCCTGTATCAGGGTCGCATGGTTTCACACCACAGTTACAAGGTGAACATCTTCCTCTAGATTTTTCATAATATCCATCTGAACATCGAACTGAGAATTAAAAGTTAACATCAATAAATATCATATTATTGATTAATAAATAAGAAAGTGACATACTGTAACCCGTATAAACAATTTATAAATATAGCACGTTCTGTTTAAGCACGTCTTATTTGTTCGTATCAATCACCGGCAACGACGACGAGAGCGTTTTGGGTCAGGTATTTTGTACGTAATAACCAAAAAGATTAGAATATAAAATGTATGTTAGATAATATCCGGAATATATAAATACATAATCTTATTTGTTTGTTTCATTTCACATTGCACATTTGTATATGACTAACATGTTCGTTGAATTGTTAGGTGAATGATTATTTTGACTATCAAATACCATAAAGCTAGTAATTTAAATAACCATTTATTCTACCACTTTATTAGTGAAACAAGGGTGTACCCAAGATGTAATTCTACAGACGAAGATAATTGCCATTATTTTTTCATATGGCTAGCCTACTCTCCCCAAAGAACAATTCTCCAAAATAATTTACACCGCCTCAAACAAAATGTTACAATTAACCTAATCTTATATGGCAACACCGACCTTTCAGATGATACCAATCTTAACATATTTAACATAGTGCAAAAATACATTAAAGATAGCAAGAGATTTTAACACTTTAATATTTTATTTACAATATGCAATACTTTTTATCTTATATAAATTTCATAATCTAAAATGAAAATGTAATACCCTACTATTAGACTCCAAGAAATGTATATATGTTTGTAACTCACTGTATATACATATGTCCACCATTGTCTATTGTAAACATAAGATATAACTGTTTTGTATGTTTGGAGGGAACTTTTACAGGCCTTTGCCTGTTGTTCAATCCATTTCAGTTTATTGAATATAATATTGTTTAAACTAAACTAACTGATGCCTTATCGTTCAGATTTGCCCTTTAAACACCTGTCCAGTCTTTTTTTGTTTATATATTTAAATAGACAAATAAAATATTCATCCCACTCATCAATATATAAAAATGTTTATCACCTGAATAAACCTCTACTTCACATAATGCTAGAGATGTATATTCAATGTCTGTTGTTATAAATACAATATGTCCTGTCAACTCTACATCTGCTTGTTGATTACATCTATCTATACTATACGGATTTCTATTACTACCAGGATCTTTATAACAAACTGGTGATGATTTAAGAGTTGCTTCATCACAACTACCAGTATCACTGATCATTACAGAAAAATTAGTAAAGCTGACTTCAGCTAAAATAAACAAATAGAAACCTATAAGTGTAATCTGTGAATGAAATATTTAAAATGTATGCAGATCAGTAAGTGGGACAAATATCAGAAATACCCACAGTTTAGATACAGAAAAAATGGTTAGCTTACCAGTGTATTCTGTAGATTTGATTAAACGCTTTCAAAACATCTATACACAGAAATGAGGTTAATTTTTTTTCCAGGAGATACTTTCAGATTACTAAGTTTACAAATGACATGCTTTAGTTGATCTTAAAATAGCTTTTAAAAACACCGATTCAACTATTTTTATTATATTTTCTTATTTTGCGGTGTCTATTTCTTTTAACTCAATATTTTCCATAAAATTCAAAATAACAAACACGAATTAAAATTCAATATTGGCCCATTTCAATCCTAATATTTAAGACATAATGAACTCTTTAATATCCGTACACGAGTAGTGTATTTCTATGGTTTTGGGTGCCGTTTGTAAGGAACAAAGAAAAATATATCCTACAAGACAATGTAGAAGTAATTAGCAATGGCTGATTCACAAACGACATAATAATGAAAAACATGTGCAGCATGAACTAAGCAGGTGTAAACGATTGCCTTTCAATTTGGACTGTTCACGTATTTCACCGAACATGATTGATTAGAATTACAATAAAAATTTAAAAATTGAATATGAATCACTATAATATTCATATTATATTAATGTGTGCTTGTAGACCCATTTTCGTCTATTTTAATCTTCCACGGTGACATTCAGTACTTTTTATAACTTGTCAGATTTCCTCTCACAGTCTCATATAACAACTTTTGGTCTTCGAAGTAATTATCAGTGAGCAGAAATTCACCCGTGTATCTGTTATCGCTCGCTACTTCAGTCAGTTATATATAAGGATAACTCGTGTTTTCCATTTTTTGCGTCACTTCCGTGTGTTCAAATGTTTGTTACACATCTATCGTAGCAATGATCTGCGTGTTAAAATTATATTTGAAAAGTTTTTAACCAGTTCTATCACATATGTGATAATGACTGACAACAATATTGTTCTTTAACTTTTATAATGGTGTGATAATCTGCCAATCGCTAATATAATTAATGTTTCTTAAATTAACCACTTTAAGATCAACTGGCATTCAAGTCGTTAACCAGTCACCAGTTAATCCCATCTATTGTTTTTGTTGATTTATCATATTGTTTAACAGTTTATGGATTGTTCAACAATCGACATGTCAGTTTTAATTACATTTGCTTTTGTCCTATTATCTGATTTTTCTTAAATATAACAAAATTTGTACATTGATGGCAGTCACTAGGATCCCTTACTAAGTGCAGTAACCGGCCTGTCAGTACTGTATGACGATATATGTATATTTATGTTCCGGTATATTGAAGAATTGAAGAATCATTTTAAGTGTGTTATATCCCAAGTGAGAATTTACACCTCTAAACTATTATGAGTTTAGTGATATCCTCCGTACGGTGTACATTGATAGACATCTTATTGGTATAATACAGTATAATAATTTAAACGTCTTTTATACAGTGCATAGGAGATTGACAACATATGATTAAATTATCCTTATATAAAATTACTATACACTTACTGCCTTTATTTCTATTTTCACCATAAACATTAATTTCGTTGATTTTGTATGGCTTCTGTAAATTAACACACCACCATGATTTGATGTCATTATTTGTAACTGAGCAAGATCCATATTTATCCTGACGTTCACCATCTACAGCATTAGATGAATTATATCCAGTCTGGATTAAAGATGAACTCTGTTTGGTAGTCTTGCCTAAAGCTACATTTTCTGAAATATTAATTTCAGCTTAAATCAATCAAATCGGACAACATTATATTCAATGGGGTGTTTTAGCCTGAAAAAGTACAAATGTTTTTTAGTTATTATTACATGGATTTCCCCAAATTATTAAGTAAGTGTAGACCGCTTTCTCCATTATATATTTTGTTTTACAAATACTTCCGTCCTGAAATCAGAACACAACAGAACACTGAGCTATCAAATTTCTTATTAAAAACCAAGTTTCTCTAACAGTCTACATGTACTACATGATAAGAATCATGTACTTCGTCGTTGGCTGTATGTGTTTATCCTGGACAACATTGTCTATAATTAAATTTGGGATGTATAGTTTGTATAATCTTAATTGCAGAGTAATTAATTAATGGTGGAATTACTAAGGCGGTGGAGGTGATCTTCGGTGAATTTCTAATCATATTTACAGTCCAGGTGATCTGACAGATGTCATGGGATTAGCACATTCTCTAACATGTCTGGTGTTACCTCTGTGTTATTGTCAATGATCTATATTATTTTGGTTGTTGAGTACCTATTGTATTTGTGTGTAAAATATAGCTTGACAGAAGACATCGGGAGATGTCGCGGTCATAACAAAAATGTGATAAGTGTTGATGACACGTTAAAGCTCATAGCTGTACCTATACCAATTCAATCTGTTTCACAGAGTTATTGTAATCGCAATACCTCTGACCTTTTTATAAGTTCAAGTTGATTCTACATGTGACGTCACGTCACGCGGCCCCGGTCATTGGCTCGAAAGCTCGTTCAATGTTCACACAACATGGACTGTTCCGTGTAGAATGGTGTCTGTTAATCATTTTATTTATATACTCATTTATAACTAAATAGGAAAAAATTTTTTTCCAGATATACTTCAAACACATTTATTTATTTTTCTAATACTACAAAAAATGTTTTAGAATTTAATTTGCAGAAGGAAAAAAGTTAATATTACAAGCTCATTAACTCGCATCAATGTCAACCCTCTCAGTGATATTAGGGATCTAGCGAATATTCACTGATGATGAGTGTGATACCAATTAGACAAACATGTACCAACTGATTAAAATACAAACGTACAACATAGTTTTGTTAACAATTGTTTTAAATCCGACTTCAATAAGCTATTTGTTTATAAAGTGCGTATAAAATAGATTTTATATCTAAGGGCGATTCCGTACAAAAATCCATTAACAGAATGGCCAAATCGAGATAATTTATAGTAAATGTACTTACTAAATGAGAGTATATCACAATAATCAATACCCAAAATAGTAAAGTAGAACGACGGTGTCTAGAAAGACTAAACATACCCTGTACCCGATACAAATAATAAATCGCTAAACCCTTATTTATATTAGAATTTTATTTTTCAACGGCTATATTATACCATGTTTTGATCACGTTCCACAGTTTGGGGTAATGCCAATAAAGGTAAACTTGAGGTCTTGTAGAAACTTTCAAAACGTGCAACAAGAAGCAATTTGGATGTAAAACCTGATTCACATTGGGTGCTTTTATTTGAATCTCTTAATTAGTTCACATTCTACCAACGAATTTAATACAATCAGGAAATGCTCAATTTCAAAATTCTAAGAGATTAATTACCATCAACATATTCTATGAAAATTCTAAATTGACCGAAACTACCATGACATTGAGATCAAAAAGTCAACTTAAATTAGCAATTCCAAAACGTAACAAAAAGGCCAATGACAATAACATTCTATACTACTTCTTTATTCTGGAATTCACCACCTCAAACTGTGGAACATGTATCTTCATGTTTTATTTTCAAAAGGGAATTAGTAAACCATGTGAAATCTCTTAATCCTTATTAACTACTGTTGTCCTCTGAATGTATGTTTATTTGCCATTTTTCTTTCTCATTTGTTTAATTTTTTCCCTCGATAAGCTTATTTATGATGTATATGGACTTTGTAAATATGTGTAAATATTGTTACTACATGTAGTTGCTAGTTTTATAGAGTAAGAGGGACACGTTGAAAATTAAAATACATGTACTAAATATGTTCCCTCAGAAAATATAGTCATTATCATCATTATAATATCATTTGACTTTTGATATCAGAAACTAACTATTAAGGACAAACAATATAATAATATTAGTTAAAGCAGGGACGTGGTGATAATGACTATGTAATTAGCGATACTCATTCTTCATGCTCAAAAAAATAAATGAATAAAATAAAATAATAAATAATACCACTTTATTTTTAAAGTGGATGAAATTCAATGAGTTTTTTTTTTATTGATGTGGAGGATGATGGTCACTATGAAAAATGTAATTGACATGTTTGAACACTGACGTTAATACTGCTTAATGTCCAACTCCCCACTCTACGTGCCATCCCCCCTATTCATTCCAAAATCCTGTTATTGTATTATAAATTTTGACCCGAAATGGGCCGAGCATGTTAAATGCATGTTCAAGGTAACGGTGATTTTTTTCGCAGGAATAGAGGTATATTGTTGCGACACAATGTCAATGCCGTACCCAACCCCAAATGACCATCACCAGGCTCCGAATTCACAAAACATTCCCAGACGCAGGTTAAGAATTAACTCAAATTTGTTCGCCTTATTTTAACTAAAATATAGCCCTTTATAAAACTTATGTTGTTTTAATGAATCAAATACACTGTACATCAATAAGAAACTGTGAGCAAATTTTGTGTTTTTGGATTAAAGATATTTTTCATAAACAGTAATTGGATGTTGAGTAAGATCTTAACTTAAGTCTGAGATTGTTTCGTGAACTCGGGACCAGGCCTCCGAGTTAAAGACATATTATATATATTATATATAACTCAATATGAATGAGTATCACATGAAACAAGAAATTAATATAGTATATAATGTACCTGTTGTACAATAGTTGCAGGTTGACATACAGTGTTCCTCCATGTAGTCTCTCCAACCACCAGGTTTGTCTTTACAATGTGCACCATAAACTTTACATGGTGTTACAGTCCTCTTGTCTTCACATGTGTCAAGGGCTGAAATATTTACAGTAATCATGCTTTAGGTGTCTGGTGGTCCAAGTATTCTACTATATGTTCGTCACCAAAATGAGTTTAATTCTACAGCTGTATATTTTAGAAAATAAGATCGTTGATCCTCGTTAACTGGTGAAGTTTGGTTACAAGCGAATTTTATTGAGAAGAGGATTATAATATTTGTCAGTTATGAAATGCCGTGTTGTGTCGAGTAGACTATTGCCTAGTTCATCTCTATTGTACTACTATCATATGATAAATGATATGTTACATTACACTACTCTTGTAACAATCATCTACCTACAGTTAAATATACTTATATATTGTTAATAACAATCATTATACTTACCATTGGTGACATCAAATATAAAACAATACACAAGTACATATATCAGTATAGTACTAGCCATGTTGACATGTATATACTAAATATATCTGTTAAACATATAGATTATAATACAGATATTTTAGATCAAGGAAGTAAAATAATTTGTTCCTGTATCAAATTAATGGAGAATAACCTAAATGAATCATAAAATCAAATTTTAGTACTGTTAGTGTATAAACTTATAATTGTCTTATACAATAACACACTTTTGATATTTTTTTGTTATAATTAATTTGTAGTGTGTTTCGCGTGTTAACGTCGTGGCTCAGCGCTTAAACGTTGGCTCGCTAACCTGGAGGTCGTATGTTCGATCCCGGTGTTAGCTGAGGTCCCGTGTATACATTGGCGTGCACGTAAAATAAGCCTTGACGGCTGGAATTTGAAATATGAGAAGGCCGTAGTGCTCGCTGTACGGCTAAATTTCCACCATAACACATTTATGACGTAGGCCCGTCTTCATTAGCCCAGTCGGGGCAGACCAGTAGAACGTCAAACACAAATTTCATTTCATTCCGTGTTATCATATTCTTTTTAATTTACTCGTTATTGTATAACGACTGGTAATTTTACATTATTTCAGGTCAAATAAGCTGTAATATACATGCATTTTCTCATGTAAAAATTGCTTGGAGTTAAAGTGGGGTCCCGATAGTGGACAGAATGAGGGTCCAGAGAATGTAAATTCGAAGCACTCATCTATTGGAACTTTTGATATTGTACTCAATCCAACATGTGGGCCGTGGGGGCTACGGGACTTTTGTCCAACTTAGCCCCCCCCCCTTGATCCATTATTACTAATTAAGAACTGAAATGAAATGGGAAATGGGGTTTAACGTTATTATGTTCTGCTCCGTCTGGGTTAATGAAGACGGGCATGCTCCATACAGTGTGCTGCGAAGGAAATGTTGCCCGGGCGCTACGATCCACTCTTATATCGAATTCCAACTGTCAATGAATCTTTTACGTATGGCAAACCCGATAAGGTTCCTAGGTCGACATAGGGGTGGAACACGTGACGTCCGGGCTATCGAGTCAACGTCTTACTGACTGAGCCGCCGTGGCTTTGATAAAGACACGATGACGACACCCATCCCAAATGCCATATAAAGGTATTATGTGGAACTAAATGACCTAAGAAAATTAAATAGATACGACTAATTGACCAGGCAGTGTGTGCACAACTGTAACTCGAATGCTAACGTAAACGACAATATTGGCTTAGTTACAAATAGAATCTATACACTTTGTAATAATAATGAAATCAGTCACGAAAACACTATGTTTCTTTTTCTTAAACATACATTATGCACGAGCTAAATCTGGCCTTTAGTGTTATGAATTGTTATTTAGATTATTTGTTATCGTGACAAGCCCACAATGAACTATCTAGACCATCGGATGACTGAGATATTGAATGAATTAGAACAACCGAAATGAAATGAAATGAAATGAAATGGGGTTTAACGTCCTACTGTTCTGCTCCGAAATGGGCTAATGAAGACGGGCATACGCCATACAGTGTCATACGCCATACAGTGTGCTATGAGGGTAAATTTTGCCCCGACAGCGGCACTACGGCCTACTCTTATATCGAATTCCAACTGTCAAGGGATCCTTTACGTGCACGCCAATGTGTACACGGGACCTCGGTTTTTCGTCTCATCCGAATGACTAGACAGCTGTCCTTGTCAGGCCCTCCATCCTGCATCACTGACAAGGGGGAACCACGCCGGGAAATCTGGATGAACTTTCTCGGCCAATGCAGGGATCGAACACCCGACCTCCAGGCTGGCGAGCCAGCGTCTTACCCACTTAGCCAGCGAGATTCCAATTAAAACAACCGCAGAATTTTTCGTTGAAATTGATAATCGAGAGTGTCTTTATTGTCGTTACAACGGTACTTGCCAATCGAGAAAATTTACGCCCAAACATCAAATTGCTCTATTATTCCGCTCAGAATAGAGTTATTTAATTGCAATGTTTAATATATTCATTTTTTGAACTTGTATAGCCAGAACGGCCAGTTATTTATAGGATTTTTATATAATGCATCTTTAAATAATTTATGTTATTAAAAGTTTGTTGAATCGATGAGTATGTCTTTAGTTCACTAAACAGAACGTTCAGGATTCAATCCCGGTGTTGACTAAGAAAGTTACCATTATCAGAACATATTGACAGTACGTTAAAGATCCCTGACAGTTGAAAATCGTAATAAGAGCAGGTCGTCATACCACTGTCAAGGCAAAATCCATTTTCGCTATGATTGGTGGGCATACAATGCACTCACAGGTGAGTCCGGGTGGCTTAATACATAGGAGTAACAGATTCTCCATTCCTTTAGTTAGTATGATTGGAAGTCGGGATGCACGAACGAAATCAAATGGGTTTAGGTAACTTTAAGGTAAATATTGCCCGGACTGCGACGTAACAGGCAACTCTATTTAGAACTCCAACGGCCAAGTTTCTTTTACGTTTACACTGGACCCCAGTTTAACGTCCCATTCGAACGACCAGGTGTTGTTGCTTGTAAAGTCTCCACTCCTGCAGAACTCATAATCGGATACCACACCGAGGAACAACTCGGTCAACATCGGGGGCAAACCTGAATAATCAAACCGTCAGCGTTACAGATACAGACTTCAAATGTTATAGAAAGTATTATAATTAGACCTTTATTTACATAACAAGCCCAAAATTAACTCTGTAGACCCTTGGATGGCTTGGATACAGCTTGGACTTAAACAGTCGTCCATTTAATAATTAATAGCTGACCAAGCTAACATTTACCGACGTCACTCCCAGAGACTGTCGACGAATAGATTGAAAATCGAGTTTACCTTAGGCATTGAGAGTGTTACTTGATAATCAAGAATATGTGGGCGGAATCAAAAGATCAGCAATTCTCAGAGACGGTGCGGAGGCAGTTGATGCGCATTTCTAGTCCAAAATTCCAACAATGATAACTAAGTTCAATCTTAACTAATGTATCTTTAGTTATTTTAGCAATAAATAAAGTTACATGTAATTCAAATCTTGGATACGCCAGGGTTAACAACGAGTGGGGGGAGGGGGGATACAAAATCTAAACGATATGATATGGCCTGTCTGATTGACTATGGTCTCATGCACAGTTATTGGTCGGGTAGGCTTCCGAAAACGAATATGAGGTTACGAATACCATCGATGAATCCCGAGGTTAAAAAGCGTGATTCTTGAACAAATAAAATCGCACGCTGTTCAAAGGGCAGTAACTCACAATACATGTCGTACACACTAACGTAATAACTTAATTTGGGTAAAATCTTTTTAGATGAAATAAATTGTTTAATGTGCCATACATTTTACGATGAGAGCTACTTTTATATCTTCTTTAGTGTAACGACCGTATCATGGAACATTTGATTAACGAGTGATACCTTCTTACTATCATATATTGTAACTAATTGTCAAATATTTATCAAATATTTATATTTAGGGATCGACCCAATGTGAAAGATAAAATTTACATTATAGATTTAGAACATAATGTGAAACATGTCTATTTATTATGATATCAATAACATGGTTGAAACCTAATATTAGGTAGTGAATTTAAATGATATATACTTGTTAACGTGAATGTTATTATCATATGTGATGTAAATAAATAATTACTGGGTTCTTTAGACAAATTTGTATTACAAATATTAATAGTACACGCATGTAACTTTTTCTGTTTTACTTTTTAAAATATTGTTTACATGAATGCATACATGTGATATTTTATTTTAATTAAAGTATAGGCTGTGAAATTTCTGTTTACTCATGCATATGAATATATTTTTGTGATTAAAATATTTAGTTCGTCTCGCAAACATCACCATATGTTTGGGGTAACATAGTCAGGTTGGCGCTGAGTGCCATTAAATATCATTACTTACTGTCTCGCTCTCGACCGTTAAACCACACATATCATTTCACTTCTTTACAATTGAGCGTTATGCAAGGGAGACAACTACTTTTATTCCGTTTGAAATTATCATTTTTGCCGTCGGAGACGAATAAATGACCATCTGTTTGTATATAATGTTCCCTTCTTCCCTCATTTAAATTTAAATGAAATTTAAATGGGGTTTAATGTTTTACTTTTGTATACGAACAAGGTCATTGAAGACATACCCACATCGTGATATGCGTTATGATGGCACTGACTGTGGTATACGTAAGACTAGGGGCTTTAACTTCGTATGGGACAAAAAGTACAGATTGACGTTCACTTTAAAGAACCTTTGATAGTTGGAATTGAAGAGAGAGTAGACGGAAACCCACTTTCAAAGCGTAATTAACCGCTTGGTGCAGAAATGTAGGTGTATATTTTATTTCATAATTCAAACTATGGCCTTGCAACAATAAAACTGCTATAAAACAATGTTTCTTTAAATTTTCGTAAGAGTTCATTCATTTTAAATAATTATATAAAATAGAGATTTGGGAATCTAGGTGGTTACCCCCCTCCCCAAGATCAGATAACTGTGGTATATTAGGCTAGTTTTGTCAGGGGCCCTGTTGGGTAAGGGGGCACCGGGGGTGGGGGTGGGGTCCTCCTCCTAGAAAATATT